AGCAAGAATGGAGCTCAGCTTTGGCCCCTGAACACAGGCTCCTACCCACTTGCTATGTAGCCTCTCAGTTAAGTCACAGAATCACCCCTATGTATATCATGTTCTCCGGTACACGTGCTCCCAGGCAGAAGAAACAGCACATAGGCAGGCAGGGCAGCTGGCCTTATTCCATTTGACTGCTAAAGAAACTGAGGCTCGGAAAGGGGAGGTGACACAGGTCACACGGTCAGAAGAGTGTGGAGCCAGAACCTTGAGGCCCGAGGATGGGCTGTGCCTCCTACGTGTCCCATCCCAGGGCCTGGGGCAGGGATGAGGTGGCACCTCGTGCCCCTTCCCCGGGCCCCCTAGCTGCTGACAGAGCCGAGGTCCCAGCTCCCAGAGCAGAGCTCTCTCGCACCGCCCTTCAAATCTTCCCAGTCACCAGCTGCCTGCTCTCTTGTCTTATGCATTTGTGTCTCAATTGGCTAAGCCCCCCGTGGGGACAAGCAGGCCAGGGGTCTATTTATCCAACACTGTTGGGGTCTCTAGGGCACTGTTTATCCCAAAGCAACACAGTAAAAGGCCACAGCCTGCAGCCAACAGATGCAAATCCCTGCAAACCCCATAGTTATGACCTGGAGACAGGGGCCAGGCAGGCGGCTGGGGTCAGAAGGAAGTCCTGCAGAGATCACAGAGGGCTGGGGAAAAGGGCACTTCAAGACCTGATTGGGGTGTGTGTGTGTGTGTGTGTGTGTGTGTGTGTATGACAGAGAAATTGTGGGGGGGAGGGCAGAAGGGAGGGAGATGGAGAGAGGAGGCTTGAGTGGGCTCTCACCCACATCGATGACACGCTGCTTGGCAGTGGGTTGCCGGGAATGCCAGTGCTTCCAGAAGCGTAGCTGCTCCACCGGGACTTTCTCATTGTCAAAGACCACCATCACCACACTCTGCAGGCACAAGCAGCCACAGTGACTCCCAGCCTCCTGGAGAGGCCCAGGCATCCCCTGACCCTTCCCAGAGCCTTGGTCCGGTACCCCTGCCCTTTTGCCTCAGTTTCCCCCACTCTATGGCAATGGACAGTTATCCTAGGGTCCTTGTCAGGCAGGGCTGGCCCAACCATCCTACCCCTTTCCCAAGCTGCTCCAGGGGCAACATACCTTGACTTTGTTGGAGGACAAGGCAAGGCCTTTGCTGCCTGCTGGGGTCCGCAGGGTGATGGGATAGAACTGGCCTTTGTTGAGGTAGGCCATAGGCGACTCCCCTGACTTGATGTGGATGGCTTTGGGGGAGCCCAGGGTGTACTCAAAGTCACTGCAGGGAAGAGAGGGTGAGGACAGTAAGGCTGAGCTCCCAGGCAGGAGTATCCCAGAGGGCAGTGGGGCAGGGAGCCTGAGGCTGTGCTATGGATTTGCTGTGTGACCTAGTAAATCACTCAACCTCCCTGGGCCTCAGTTTCCACACTTTTGGTTTCTTTCCTTCCTTTTTCCTCTTTCTTTCTTTCTTTCTTTCTTTCTTTCTTTCTT